ATCTGGCAACATGTCAACAGAAGACATGCCACGCCCCGGGCGTCCTTCGACAGGAAGAAATGACGAAAACATTGCCAAAATCAAACGTGCAATTGATGAAGATCGTCGAAAGACCATTGACCAACTTTCTGAAGAAACGAACATCTCATGGAGCACGGTCCAGCGAATTTTAACCGAAGGTTTGCACATGAGACGGGTGTCTGCAAAATTTGTTCGTCGCTTGCTCGGAGATGACCAAAGAGAAAACCGCGTGAATGTTTGCCGCAACTTGAAGAGTGAAGTGCAGAACGATACAGAATTTCACACACACTCTTTGTTCCTTCTGGTCGGCCATCTCACTAATCGCCAAAGGGTTGAAACAGGAACGCACACAACAGAGCACCACAGACAAACCACTTAACTCAGACAGACGCCAGCTCACTAACAGTCTGGGGAGACCCCCAGCTAACACCACCTAGCAGCACAACTCGTAACTACAAAGCATGCGCGTGCAACAGGTTGGTTCCGGTTATTTTTGGGTCCCCCCTCGTATGTATATATATATATATATACACACACACACACACACACACACACACACACACACATGAGTACCACCTGATAATCTTCTAGATCAAAATGTGTAGTGGATGTCACACCGCAGAAGCTGTTACTCATATTCACCACTCTGAGAACCTCAGGTCCAACAATGTGAAGTAGAATTAACATTTTTCATTGTAGTCTGTGTTTTAGTGTTCCTCTAGACAGATGTCTTATGCGGCTTCCATGGCTGGTTTCTATTCATTGATTATTGTTTGAAGTGTAAACATTTCACTGAGCAACTCAATTCAGAGAGTTTTGGTTTTCTCCTCACACTTTTATTTGCATATGCAGCATAAAAGAAATATTGCAAGAAAACTGTCAGAAAATTAGTGACACATTCTGCATTTTCTCTTTAAGGGATGCGTTTTGCTGAACAAGATCTTCATGTTGCCTTGTGCTGCATTCTTCTGAACTTCCAGCTGAAGTACCCAGTTACAGACCCTCTGGAACAAATATACTCCACTTTACTCTTCCCGGACGGTCCAGTAAGAGTTCAGTTTATATCCAGGAACTGAACATAATTATTAATACTGTCACATATTTATGGCTCCGTGACTAATAATGGGTTTTGGACTGGATTTATTAACACTTTACAGGTCATAGCTACAAGTAATTATAACACCATTGCTGATTTCCAATTTACAAATCACTCCACACTAGCCTTTGCAGTCTATTTCCACCAGTCTTCACTATCTGTTTCCTGGCAATGAATTTATAACACAACTATAAAAGTCTCACTAAATTACACACTCCCAATAGCACTATATGACAGCACATGTAAAGTCATACACTATGTCTTCTTGGCACAGTCTAATTCCTTTGACGACTGACTCCAACTGAACCATGCTGAATCTTATATCCTCTCGGCATGGACCGTGTACAGAGAACATACGTCTTCCATTGTTTCATGCATGTCTGTTGGGATTCCAATGTTATCACTAACCAGCCAGTCCATTAACATGCAGGCTGCTGCCTAGCAATGGTCTTGGCATGAACCACATATAAAACACTGCTCCTGTATTGAACATATTTTCCTAGAAGTGGGTTTTTCTGGCTCTATAGCTTAATCCTTTGAGCAAATCCATGACAATACATAACTATATGAGATCAGTAATATTATATTTAATTTAATAGTAAATTGCACTTGTGGACAGAAAATGCGAATTTTCTGACTGCAGGCTTCGCTCATTGATAATATGAATAATTTGCAAACTGTATTTTCCAGAAAACTTCTGTGATGTGAACTGCATAACTTGTATTCACACAAAACCCTTTCCAGTAATTCACAGGGTTACTATATATTATTAGCATAATTTCATGTCTGATTGTGGACTTTACATGTGATAATTCAGTTTATTCTCAGCCTTAGTTCATTCTTAATCAAGTTATCTTTCCCTAGATTTTGCTTTGCAGAAATCTCCTGTATGCACACGTATCACACCTTTCAGTGTCCTCTTCCTCCAACAGAACAGTCCCATATGCACGCCTTTTTATGCAGAAGCATTTTCGTTAGTTCCTTTCAAAGAATTTTTTCATTATTATATTTAAGCATCCTGTTATACTCACACAATATATATGAGACAAACTCTGTCTTAAGTGCAACAATTTATTTGTAATACAATTTTTTCATGCTAGAGCTAGTATCGCCAATCACAGTGGTTGTGTGGTCTAAGGCATGAACTGTTTTTGCTAACTTGAACACTGGGATTGTGGGTTCACATCCCACTCAAGGCGTGCTAGATCAGCCACGCTCACACCTCGTTCTCGCTTTTCAATGATTTTACGTTTCATTTCTACGGTTATTTTTATTCTCTTATGGCTGTCTTTTTGCAGCTTTTTCTTTGGGGACATTTTTGCAAGGGTTATTAAACTTTGCACAAAATAAAATGTCTGAACACAAGTTTGGAAAATGTGTGATCACAAGCGACATAAGGATGCTAGCGGAACGAGTGCTAAACACAGACTGATGTAGCAAGCACACAATCCGGGACTTCCCCTCTCGTCACTCATTATGCGGAATGTCACAAGTTTAGCGAGTCATTTTTTTTACAATTTGTTTTGCTCGTTATGCGAATTACTTGTTATGAGAGGTGCTCGTTAAGCAAGGTTTCACTGTATATAGTATTTACAAGATTATATAGATAACGGTATTGCACGTTCTCACGGAAATGTGAGATTCAGGTCATTGTCTTCTGGGATTGCATTCTGAAATGTTGGTACCTACCAACCCATAAAACTACAGTGTGGCATCCCAGAAGACCATTACCGGAATAAAATTTATTCCGGTTTTGTATCTAATGTTTGGAAGGAAATAAAGGAGAAAGCAGTATCTTAAACTTGTTTATTTAAGATATTATAAATACAAGGCAAATAAACTGTTATTCAAAAAATAAAGCTGTACACTGAAAGTGACTCTGAGAAGATCCCCAACCAATTCAAAGGTGAAGCTGAAGTAAACATTATATCTTTACAATATACATATTTCCAATATACAGACTTAAAGCTCTCACACTTTAAGTTATTTACACATTCATACTTCAATTTTTTAGGATAATGTATTAAAAAGTTCAGTTTCAATACCAGTACTACAACCCACTGCTTAATACAAGTTACAGTTTGTTTTAACAGGTACAATATATGACTAATATATACTGCCTCTGAATTTCATGGTGACAATACATGGGATACTCACTGGTAACTGGACTACTTGTACTCTGCACCAAAGATCCACTATCACAAAAATATTTCACATGACAACCAGGTTGAAAAAGTTGTAGATCTGTTCCTGTATATGTGAGACATATTTCATAGCATATACAAGCAGACAGAAATTAACAAAAGAGGTTAAACTGAAATCTTTAAAAGCCCAGGAAACTTTTGTGTTTGTAGATAACTTCTGAAGCTATCTATTTAAGCAGACAGCCTTTGAAATGAAAGGCGGGAACAGCTGTATTAATCTTATTTTATGGGCATTGCATTCACTTCATGTAAAATTTACTTAGGGTGCAGTGGATTTGAACACGAAACTGAGGAAAATATTAGGATCATTGAAACTGAATCTTACATGAGAGAAAATCTATATCAAGGAACATTAAATGTGAGTTCCACTGTTTGCTGTTGAATTTTAAAACATAAACACTATAAAGTTTACGATTCCTAGGATATATCATATGGAACTGCAGGAATATTAAACATTTAACTTTACTTGCCAGCTGAGGTAATGAGGCAGATTCTGGTAGGCTTGCCATAATTTAATTTGGCCAATGGTTACAGGTTGGTTTTCTTTTGCATGCAATTCATATATTTTAATGTCTCAAGCATATGAAATGTTATATGTAATTCACCAAACCATGTATGTCATAAGTCATTCTCACCACATACTTGAGAAATATTATGAAAAGTTTGCCTGCCAGTTGATTACTAAGGTTTAGTCATAAGAGAAAGGTTAAACAGATGGCATATCATGCAAAATATCTGACTTTAAGCTCTTTCTGCTGATCTTTGGCTCAATGGATTCTATTTTATTAAAGTTTACAAAACAAGCTGGCAATTTTATGGGAGTTAATGCACTAGTTCTGCAATATCAGCAGTTCTGAAAAGTGTAAAACAATAACAACAGGGTAGTTTTAATCTTGAAGGTATCAGACTTATTCCAAGAATACAAACACCAAATTTGTAAGGGGATCCAGAAATACCTGATGTCACCTTCAATCATAATAAAAACTGACAATAAAACAGAATGCCTTGGTTTCCAGTAAATACAAAATTCATTACTATAAATTCCACACTCCTCTGATGCAATGCTGTAGAAACATGGTGACGTTTGTATACACAAATACAGGTGGGAGTAAATAAAACTTGGAATTTTCTTGAAAAGTCAACCTGGTTTCATATTAACTATGCCACCGGTAATGCTAAAATAGCCATAATACAGTGATGTGCTATGAATTCATTTACACTCATATACAAACTATGTAACATATTTGCTTATATAAAAAACAGTTTAAATCTACACCCAGTATAGCACCAAAATAATATTAGATGCAGTCCACCTAATTTTTCAAAACGAATAGAAACAAATTTAAGACTCATACCTGTGTACAGTCTGATGCGGTGTCACCTCACATATATACTCTTATGCACTGACAATAGTAATTCAATTAGAATATTACATGAAGTTAAAAATTGTATAATTCTGCAGAATGAAATAAAAAATTTAAAACATTCAACAGTTATATGCAGCTTAAATTAACTATAATCTGTTAATTCGATCTACAGCTGTCTTGCTATTCAGCACTATTATGTAAGTAATAAATTAATATAAACCCATTCTGCATTTCAAATATCATCAGTTGGTGTGTGTTAATAAACAGTACAGTGCCAATCTAGGAGTAATATCTAAAGTAAGCACTTCAGGGGACAATGACACGTAGACCTCCTGCAATACTACCAGGAACAAATAGCCAGTAACATGCCACATTTCACAAGACTAAATGGCAATGAGATAAGACTTCTTCTTAAATTCTAATTTAGTGCAATAACATAGCTTACTTCTCACATACAATTGTAACATGTTCGTACATACCATAAGTTTTGACTTAAACTCTGTGTTATTCCCTTCCTGGATTTTGTGAAATTTCCAATTTGAATTCAGATGAAAAAAACATTAGAACTGTATGTTACACAATGAAGAGAACTCATAAAACATCTGAAATTAAAGTGGAATGAAATAAAATCCTAATGCCATTTCCAGTGACCATATTGTGAAAGTCAGCAAATCATCTTATCTGTCTCTACTCACAACATTTAGTCTAATTCCACTGGCAAGTATGAATGGTAACTTCTCAAACATCTTTGGAGGGTAACAACTAGCATGTTTCTTTAAAATACACATGATGATGATGATGATGATTAAAATTCATCAGACCTTAGGTTCCATTGTCAATGTCCCTTATTACAGCCTTTGAAGGAAATACATAATCAATCTTTACCACTCTGAATATAAATGAAGATAAATTTGTCACTGCTACTGCTAGTTTCTAAAGGATTCACATGCCTTAATGCTATATAGCCGGTTCAGCCAACAAAGGCGAACTAAAGAAACGTAAGATATTAACAATAAACCTGGCATTGAACTAAGACAGTCAGTGACAAAAATATATTCTATGTATTCTTACCATTTACATTTTTATTTATATAGATATATATAGCTCACTCATTAAAGGGTTTCATATAATATATAAATAAGCAGGAAAACTACCAGAAATTTATTTGGTCTATTGCAATTTATGGAAATTAAATTTTAAATCACTATGCACAAGTTTATATGAATGTTAAATCGTTGATTTAAAACAATGTAGTTATACAATTGCATTGACACTTTCCAAATTGTATGAACCATGCACATGGCCTTCATATGTCAAACTTACAGATAAAATTTACTTTTTCTTTGCTCTGGAGGTGGGATCACTATATGGAAAATCAGTTTATAGTGAAACTAACTTCTTGAGAAACCAAGAGTCACTCAAATTATCCCCCTGCCCCCCTTCTTTTATGGAACTTCAAAGTTCATTTGTGTTCACAGAAGGCTACCACTGGCCTCCATCTGTAGTCAGATGAATGCAGTCCACATTCTCTCATCTCAGATTAGTTTCTCAAGGGACATACTGCCTTCAAATATTAAGATAAAATTTTATGTATTTCTCCAGTGTGTGTTATGTACCATTCCTTGCTCATCGCTACATATATCTGCTTTTTAAAAACAAGAATCAGGAATATGGCAGGTAAAGCATGCTAGTTCTCGGTGTATTTTAACATCAAACCTCTGATTAAATATATATTAGCTACACATTATATCAAAGCTCATCAGTAGAATCATTGATTAATTTAATAAAAGTTCTTAAAAGAAACAAACACATTTTATATTCATCCTTTCAAAGCCTGAATTTCGTCTGATTTGATACTCTAAATTTCATGAATAACTTAGGGTGAATCAGTCAACCCCATGATTAAGTTACTCAAATTAGTGTGCAGTAAATGTGAAATAATTGTAGATTATAATTAAAAAATTTGACATATAAATGAAACACAACATCCTCAGTATTTAGACAATTCAAAGGTCTGTGAAGAACCATAAATATTCGAAAACCATTCAAACCATTTTGCAGTAGTCTTGCTTTTAATATCTGGTTGCAGAGGGTAACTTTTATGGTCCCAATACTCATAGGTGCTGTGATGGAATTTGGCTTGGGTCTGTTATGGTGCAGTCTCTGGTAAGAAGAAGGGCATGTGCCACATGCATATTCATACTTATACAAGCCCAGTTTTCAGTAAGATGTAGTAGTCACTGGTAGCCACAAGTTGACTATCAGTGGCACAACCAAAAATGACCGATATGGTCACATGCATAATCTACTGCGGTTGAGGTTTACAGCATAATTTGTGTAAGGAGCAAAAGCAATAAATAGTATTTATTGCTCTGTACTTTTCCCATAAAATTTAATACATGAATAGTTATTTTCATAGAATATACATCAATGAAGAGCATCACGAATTAGAGTGTAAATAAAACAGAGTACTAATTGATGTACAGCAATGCTAGCTAACTGTGTGCACATGTGTGTGGTACATTCATGAAAAACATCACAATTGGCAAGCTCATCAAAGTTTAACACATGCACGTAATAACATAAAATATGAGTATAAAAAGGGTGCACCATAATAGTAACTTTGAAGCCAGAAAACTGATTTCAAACACCATTATAGCTCTGCCCCCTGAAAATGTGCATCTTCTGGAGCAGGGGCTACAGATTATACAAATTAAAAATGATATGTATATAACATAAATATTGTAACGTGTTTGCAATCCAGAAGAGTCACTGCTATGGAAACGCTAGAATAGACCGTTACAGAGGAGACAACAATTGCTCTATTGTAGTTCTAACAGGAGTCTCCATGGTTATAACAGAGGGTTCGTTGCCTAACAGTGGCCAAGGTTATAAAAGCCCAGTTTCAACGAGAAGTCTTCAGTCTTCATCGAGCCAGCTAAGAAGCCAGTCGTGATCAAGCCTTCGGAGAAGAAAGTCTCGGAATAGCCGTCTAAGGGATCAGTCCTGGAATAACCGCCAGAAGAGATAGTCCAGCATCGCCGAGTTATTGTAAGCAGTGATCGTGACACTGCAAGTGTAAATGCCTGTAAAGTGTGTGTAAGTGAGCGAAAGGAATAAATCCGCTATATCGGACAACGGCGTGAACTTATTTGTAGCGTGACACACGAAACACGCCACAATACATAAAACAGTTGGCAAAAGTGATAAAAATGGAAAAACCACAGATATTTTAAATTCACAGTCAAGATTAATTTCTGTATTTCACAAACTTGTATTACTAGATTCTAAACGGTTCTGACGATGGTGTATAATACTCAGAGTGACTGGGTTTTCAGACACTGTCCATCATCCAGTGTTCTAAAAACTAGAAAAGAACATTTTGGAAACTGGATTTGTTTCCATCTCAGGTGAGGGGGGAGACGAATGTGCATGCTTTATGACAATTTTTATTGCATATTTTCCTGTTCCTTCCCTTCAAATTAGCTTGGTCTCAGGCAGTTAAATAGCTATAGTGAATCTGACATGGGTTGTCCAGTGATTGAGGTTAGCTCTTTCTAAGGAACCCAACAGAGTACGTGTCTCCCCCTCACCTGAAGATAGAAACAGATCCAGTTTCCGAAACGTTGTTTTCTAGTTTTTACGATACCAGAGAAAAGACAAAGTCCAAAAGCCAGTAACTCTGAGAAACTTGTATTGTTTATTAATTTAGGCATACTGTCCGCTGCAGAAAGCATTAAATAATTATACACTACAAATGAAGGTATGTCAAACTGCATTTGTAGAATAGTTTTGTCTTCTCGAGGAATGCATGATATCATGGTAATTCCATTACATTGTAATGGCTATTTCCACTTATATGTAGCCATGATAATATGGTTATATGTCCTGTTATCCATTTCCAAATTTCTTAATCAGTATAAAAAAGTGATAGCGTTCAAGTCCCGATGAGGTCATTGGATTTTTTTTTCAGTTGACCTAATCCTTCCAGTCGCACTAGGCCCTGGGGTTTACTCAGTCTCTAACAGAAATGAGTACCAGGAATTAATTAAATAATTTTCCTGGGGAGTAAAGCATAGCTGGCGCGTAAGGCTGACAACCTTACCGCCATCTTTGAGCTGATTGTCTAGACAATGTGGGACCCTCAACAGCCTGGTACAGGGATAGCTTTACTTTACTTTTTTTTTACGTATATGAACACACATACATGAAAGCTGCTTAGCTTTCATGTAAGGGGAAGATGGAATGAGTCAAAAAGTCTTTGTCATTCTTTGCCTGGAAATGTGATATAATAAAAACATCCATGTAATGGTATTCATTCCTCTTTGTTCTTAGAGACGTTAGAAAATGCAATTATCTATACACCTCACATTGAAGCATTTCTGAAAATAGACTCAAACTTTTTATTCTATCTGAAACCCCCATGACAGCCTATGGAAAACGGTTGTTATCTCATAAATACCCCATATATCATGTAATGTACACACACTTAATAAAAGAGAGTGAATGGTGTCAAAGCTTAGGTAGTCACTGGCCTGGGATAAATCCCAAGGCAGGTCATGCAGGATTTTTGACAGACAAGGTTGAACTGGGGCAGGGTTTCTCAAGGCACTTCTTTTCCCTGCCATTTCTCTTTCCATCAACTGCACCATATTCATTAATCTTCATATTATTGACGCTACATAGTCGCAATACTGACAGCATCATTAAACAGCAAAATTAATGATGGGGTTTGGAGTGTCAAAACAATAAAATTTATCTAAGTAGACCGGTCATGTTATAATACTTGTACAATGTAAAATCACAGGCCTAATGCTTATAACTACAGCTGAGTATAATGAGGCTGCGATAAGTTTAGAGGAGTGCTTCCATATTCAATACTGTACTCGCCTTCCGTCTTTGCCAATTGCATGAGCGCCATTGCACCCATCCACTTCAAATTATCCTCAGGAGGTAAACTATTTTCTGTCGCTGATGGCCAGGACACATACCTATCATTGAGACAGTTCTCTTCAGATAGCTCTGAATCTTCCTCCTTACAAGCCAGCATCAGAACTGTGGGCCTTGTCAGATTGGCATCCTTCTCTGTTGAACCTGAAGGAACATCAACAGAAACCAAACTGCTGCTGTCAACTTCATCTTTGTCATTCCATTGTAAGGGTTGAGCTAATTCCTGCTTTTCACCCCAAAGTGACTGATCTTGGCAAGCTTCACGTAGCCATCGCTTCTTCGGCTGTTCTTGGCGATATGCATCAAGCTTTTTGTGCTTCCAGATGTCGGTTGTGTAGACACTTCCAAAGTCATTTGAATCAGTGTCTGATACCTCATGGAGTGTAAGTGGTTCTTTTATATCCGCAACTAGATCATTATTTGAGTGTTGCCAGCTCTTAACAGTATGCGCAGACTGAATCTTTCTAGGGGATTTATGAACATTTTCTTGCTGTTCCAGTTCATTTACCAAGCCCTTTCGAATCTTGGACTTCTTGGTTGGTGCTGGAGGTGCAGATTCATTCTCCAATTCACTCTTTCTGTTTTTTGCTTTCCTGTCAGGCTTTTTTGATGGAGTTTTCTCTTCCCGTTCCTTCTTATACCTAAAAATAACAAAATGTAAGGAGCACATATATTTATTTTAAGATAAATATATGAAGAGTATGTAAAGATATGATGGCTTAAGTACCTCTCCAACCAACGAAGTACATCATTAGATTGTTCTGGATTGGAGGCAACAGGACGCAAAACAAAATCATCACTACGATGAAGCGTTGCAACGGGGTGGTCAGGACAGTGCCTATTGGCATGTGTAAAACGCATGTTGCACCTGCAGAAAAAAATAACACTGTATTTCTTTTCAGGAATGTAACATATTTAGGTTGTATTTTGGTCTTGTAAGTGGAGTAACACATTAACCCTTGTGATCCTTGATTTGTTTCCATTGATGTTTGAATGTAAACAGCTAACACATTAATGGCAGTACATAAAGGTAAAGTTGTCCATGTGTATAATTAAGCATGATGCCACGAAGACATTCTTAAGCCTGGCACTATACTTTCAGGGAAAGAACTCCTCATGGAGTCAAATGCTGGGTGGACCCCACAGTCAGTCTGGACATAGCAGCAAACAGAAAAATCTCTCATTCCCTTTTCTTGATAATGATTATACCAAGTGAAAATCCCAAAATTTGTAAAATTTAATCTACCCAATTTTACACACAATGTTAATAATACAGTTTCATTAACAATGCAACTATTTTATTCTTTCCCTTTCAGTTACTCTTTTGCAACATGTTTTGTCCCAACTGGCTATAATTAGGTGTGTTTAATTTGCCAAAACTTTTATACTGTACTGAATATCACTCATTCACTTTACATGTATGAATGAATGTATAAGGGGTGGGCCTTCTCGGCCCTTGCACTGTAACCTACAGTGGTCTATTGTGCTTTATATGTTCCTGCAATATTCCATAATATTAATGTTGTAATCACAATCTACTTGTAGCTAACATTAGTTGAATTACCATACACTGTAATTTACTTTCTATTAAAATTCATTTACTTAATTATTTATGAAGCTCTGCCCTTCTTGAGAAGCCAAATCTGCAGCTACTCAAGAACTTCCCAGCATTTTATGGAACCCAAAGGTTCATTACCGTGTTCACAAGAGCCCTCCACTGGTCCCTATCCTGAGCCCCTTTCCATAAAAAATCTATATTCGCCTGCTGGTGTGATGACACCTCCGTCCCATCTGACCTCCTGTACTCCTGCTAAATCTAACTTATATTTTAAGATTTCTTCTGCCACTGCTCTGAGCGAACCTGCCCTATACAGGCTATACATACCGAATCCCACGTCAATTTTCTTTAGCATAGGTCGTTTATCCAGAGGATTTGTCCAGGTCCGAGGCTTTGTGAGCATTTGCGTAACAAAGTTATTTTTTACAGTGAATAGTTGTTAGCCCCACGCCCAACCCCCAAGCTGGAGGACCACCCCTTGTCGGTTGTCTGCGACTGCTTATTCAATATATTCGCAGCTTCCCTCCCATTAAAATTCATTAAAATTTAAAATTTCTTTTTCTTTTTTCTTATATTTTGTAAAATTCTTTTTATAAAATTTCAGAAAAAAGAAAAATAAATTTTAATGAATTCTTAATGAAACATGTTGTAAGAGGGAAAGTGAAAGAGAAAGAACAAAATAGTTGCGTTGTTGATGGAACTGTATTATTAATATTGTGTGTAAAAGTTATATTAATGCAACAGGATGCTTAAATACAATATCCAATTCTACTTATGGGGCACACAAATCTCATTTAGTGTAAGAACTGAAAAGAAATTTCTGATATTTCAGGCTACAAGTGAATTGTGACCAGAAATATTTTCTCAAGATGAGTCTTAGAAAAGTCTCTTCTGTAAAGTTATTCCTTGTGTCCTACATTCCAGTGTGAACGTGTGTACGCAGGATTCCATGAGCTTTCCATTTTTGTGCCTGCCATGATAGAGACTGGCCAGTGGCATATGAGGCAAAGTATGCATGAAATATCTAAATGTCACTATCAGTTAGGAGAATTCTGTCACCACTATAAGGAACTAAGGGCATATCCCACCAAATATTCTGAATACTGTAGAATGGTCCATTCAGCACTTCATATAAGAAATATAACAGAAACCAATTTCATGGAAAAAAGACCGTGACACTGAGGGGAGTCCAGCATGTTTCAGACACAACAAATCTTTGCTGGAATCAGTTTGGACTGTACAAAGGCTCACTGATATATTGGGTTTTTGGACTTTATCCATCGTCCTGGTTTTTAACATAACTAATAAAAACATGACGTTTCTAACGGACCCAACAGAATAGGTGTTTCCCTTCACCTGAGGACGGAAACAGATCCAGTTTCCGAAACATCATGTTTTTATTAGTTATCTTAAAAACCAGGACGGTGGATAAAGTCCGAAAACCCAATATATCAGTGTGTTATACACCATCGTCAGAATCCTATAGTAACTACTTGTACAAAGGCTGCTACATTTTTTTTTTAATGACTGGAGAATACACTGAAAGTAGTTCTGCAATAAGAGTAATACAAATGGTACAATTATATTATTTATATTAATTAAGTACTATCAATACCTGTTACTTTCAACAGTATACACTAGTGTCAATCATCACTTTCCACTGTGCTTTGCTATCATGAACATGAACATGAATAAATTTACTTTGTAAAAATTCAACAATGAGTAGAAAGAATAAGCGCTATGATTTTGTCATTAGCTGGCAATCCCATTACTTCAAATTCTTCCACATGCAATGTCGATAAAAATCACACATTAATACAGCTGGTTTAACATAGTCATATAAAAGGCAACTTAAGGCTTTAGGGTTGTGAATTAATTTTAGCAGACTTAACATAATTTCTCAAGCCCTGCAGGTTATACACACCCCTGTTCTGAGCAGACAAAAGGCTTCTCTCCAGTATGTAGTCGCTGATGTGTTTTCAACTGCCCGCTCTGCGTGAAGGCTTTTGTACAACCAGGATAATCACAAGTGTAAGGACGTTCACCTAAAAGGTAGTTTAAACACGTGAGAATATTACATTGCAAATGGTACAAATCCCTTCCATGGTAGTTTTGAACACGCTAATCTTTAAGAGGTGTAACTGACAAAGTTTGGGCACACAGTAGTGTAGTTGGTTGAAGCATTATGCCACAAGCCACAGGTTTGCGGGTTTGATTCCCGATGAGGTCAATGTATTTTTACAGTTCACTTAATCCTTCCAGCTCAGCCACACTATCCCCCTGGGGTCGACTCAGCCTCTAAGAGAAATAAGTACCAGGAATCTTCCTGAGGCATAAAGGGCGGCCAGCATGTAAGGCTGGCAACCTCAATTCCATCTCAGCTGACTGCCTAGAAAATGTGGGAGCCTCAAAATCTCACAGCCCCTGGGCTTTTGCGGCCTGTTACATGGATAGCTTTACCTTCTTGCTGACAAAGTTTCTGTATATGGCAGAACTCCCACACATTAAAGATAACTACACTTGTATTTGCTGTCTTTTAATGACACTGTCAGTAACTAGTACAATACTATATATCATAGAATGATTTGATGAAAGTAAATATGAATTGGAATGGATGTGGAAGGAAATGGCCATGGCCTAATTTAAAGTACTAAAATGTCCTTTGCTTGGAGGGACTGATGAAAGCTGCAGAAAGCCCAGTTGATGTCCCTGCTGAGACCTGGTCTGGGCATCTTCTGAATACAAGTCAGAAGCATTACTACCTGGCCAACTTATTTCGTAAATACACTTGCATGCCTAGAAAGAGAAGCACTGATTTTCCTTTATTGTGAAAGAAAACTAAGAGGATGCAGGGATAACCAATAAATGTTCAGATTAGTCTACTGATTGTGGCTGCATCTCACTCAAGATGAAGTAGAAAACATAAGAAAAGTTAAGTAAACAAAGCCCTAAAATAGTGCAACAATAGTGCTTTGACTTTACAAAATTCTGCATTTTGCCCACACAGTATATTTGTGTTTGGTACTATTCTTAGCATAAACAGCTTCAAAGGGTTAATTCAAAGTAAGCTATTCCAGTCCATCCAAAGACACCCAAAGAAGGAAGGATCACTTGCAGAGCACTAATAACACTTTGGGAACTTTGTGCAATACCAGCATCCCTGACTAATGGGGAAAATAGAACAGGATGTCAGAAACAGGATTACTGTATGAATTATGGGATGCATAATGTAATCCATACTTTAAGAAACTAATTAAAACGAATGTTTCATATAATTACTTTTTATGCATTACTAGAAAAAGAAAAGGTACCAAGCAGAAATACCTTGGCACTTTTATTTTGGTTGGAGAGGAAATAAAATGTACACAAGACAAAACTACTACTTCCTTTGGTATGTCACTGTTTCTAAAATGGAAGGTACAAAAATACAAATACAGTATGAGCCAAAAATGCAGTACTGAAACTCGCGCATGTGCATATGTCGACGGGACATAGCTCCAGCCGCACGTGTTCCTAGTAGTGAAAAGGAAGTTGTATTGTGCAGCTGTTATTGGAAATGGGTCTTTTGACGGAGGAAAAAGTATTCATAGTTGAGTATTATTTCCACTCATACGGAATTGGTCGTGATGGGGGCCGAGTTTGAAAAAGGTGACAGAACAATTCCAAGAGAGATTTAATAAGATGGCACCAAGTAACAATTATGCTGTCTATTGTAAGAAATTTCGCCATTATCATAGTGTACCGTGTCAATGGGAGGGTGTGTCTGGTCGACCAGTAACTGTTTCGACAAAAGAGGATGAGGAAGGCAATGCTCTTACTGTCACCTAAGAATGCTACAAGGACATGGTGATCGGACCATTTCTTCAGGATTTGAGAAGGTTCTGTCATGCAAGGGGCCTTCACATGAATAGACAGTTGTATCAACAGGACGGGGCGACCAGCCATACCATTCGAGAATCTCTAGCTATGCTGCAGGAAAACTTTCCAGGACGAAGCATTTCACATGGTACTGACTTCCATACCCGTCCCATTCCCCCAGTCTTACACCACGTGATGCCTACTTGTGGGGAATGTTAAAGGAGTGTGTGTTCAACGGTGAAGATCCGCCAAGCACTGTGCCCCCGATCTTACACCACCCGATGCCTACATGTGGGGAATGTTAAAGGAGAGTGTGTTCAGCTGTGAAGATCCACCAAGAACTGTGCCTGCATTATGCGAGCAAATCATCTCCTTTTGCAGGAGCCTGCAGCCTATATGTTAGTTTCTTTCAGGAGAAATAAACTCACAGATGACAAGGTAATACTGTTTGTCTTTTCATTTCAGTACTGTAATTTTTCGTGCATACTGTACGTTCCACTTTGAAAGGTACACAAAATGCAGTCTCAATATAAAGCCAAAGGCTGGTGGCACATATTTTTTTTATTGCTAGTGGGGTGGAACTAAGTCCCTCGTACTGCGGCCACTTCTGGTCTATTGTAGCAGCCCCAGATGATAGGTGTGGGTGATTGTGGAGCAATTGGTGGAATGAAGATTGGCAGGGGAAACTGAAGTACTTGGAGAAAACCTGCCCCAGCGCCACTTTGTCCACCACAAATCCCTGCTGGTTTTCAGGGGCTTGTGAAATGATGGGACAAATGCCTCAGTGTACAGGGAGATTATGTTGAGAAATAAAAGCATTTTTTCAAATCAGTACTCTTATTTCTTTAAGTCTATGTCCATTTGTAACTTACTTATTAACTTACCCTGTAAAATAAGATTCAGTGCAGTTGTATATTTACTTGTTTCAATGATAGACAATATATGATACACTTCTTATTTAATAAATTCAAGTTCCATTCAGTCTTACCACTTTTCAATTGTTCAAAAATTACATTGCCTTACAGGTTTCAGCTATCTTGGCCACCTTCAAGAGGCCTTCCAACATCGCAATATGAAATTACTTTACATAGCTTTTCTTACAGCATTCCTCAGTCTAAGAAGTTTGTCTAAAATGAGTTTGTAATGTAATGGTAAAATAGTACAAAATAGTAGTATCAAGGATAACAAATGAAGGAAGTGATTATTAATATAAAATTAGTAGATAATGGCAAGTGGCTACAGTCATAACTTGACACATATTTTTATATAAGAAACAATGAATGTAAAGTACAAAATTAAGACCGATATAGTAGAATCATGCTTATATTTTCTCGTGTCTATGTGTCTGACACCCTGTCTCTATTGAAGGATGGTGTGGGTGTATGGTATTGTAGATGCACACAACACAGTACCATACATGTACTCTGCTTATGACACAGAAAAATAGAAGACACAGTAAAGTGAACCATCTATCAGTCATCTATCCACAGTTTAATGAGACTCAATGTAGCACAGTAATTATTTACCAGAAACATGTCACATCATGAGATGGGGTCTATTGGCTCAGGACAGTATTCTGCTTTTGTGATGATGGTAATGAACTTCATAAAAGACATATGGAAACATTATACCCCTCAATATAGAAATAAATAGTAGAAGTCCATTAAGTGAAACTAATTGGAGTATATACAATTTTTGCCTTTACATGTTTTGCCCATTATTGGCATTCATGAGAAGGCACAGCCAGCATTACGAAGGAATTCATTTACGCATGTTGATGTTGACCATACGTTGTTACCATTGTATCATAGAGGGACTTAAAGTAGTTAGAGAAATCAAGGCTAAATAGTTAGTACTGTTAAAATAAACTGTGAATATTACAAGTACATCAAATTCTCCATAAGCATTATCACCAGTACAGGTACAATAGGACATATGGAGGCCGACGTGCCGAGGGGACCTAATATGGATTCCACCTCACACTATATGAAATCTTAAGTATTGTATTCTATTGTAAACAATTTTAAGTATTGTAACTTTATTCTCTTATTGTAATCAGCCAATGTATAGTAACTGACTTGTCTTATGTCATGTAACAATGATCTATAGAGACGAAATAAATACTTTACTTTACTAAAACAAGTTTAAAGAACTTAAAATTCTTGTTGACTAGACAGACAAATGGAATAACAGTCTCCATTTCTACTGTTGGTTATGTAGAATTTTATCGACTGTTGTTTTGAATGTCTGCATGATGCTGTTGTGTGTAATCATGTAAAGTACATGGTAGCGTGTATCCACTAGAGCATGTCTCACACACTACCACATACTGCATTACACACATCACACAGATGAATAAAAGCCCACAACACAACAGTTCATAAAATTCTACATAACCAAAAACAGAAATTAAGGCTGTGATTTCACTCTTCTATCTATTCAAGAAGGTTTTTTGGAAGAAAGCAGACTGCTTTTACCGTTCTCACGGTCTTGTTGCTTGCAGATTTCTTATACTTTTTCTTCTACCCTGAAGATGTAGGCGATACGTTCCTCCGAAACGTCGGTTAACACCACATATACACGGTGCCAAATCCCAGAAGACTGCTTTCTTCATAGTCACCGCCGTGAAAGCCTCAAATCTTACAAGGTTTTTTAGGTTTTTTAACCCATTCTAAAATATTTTTAACCATTTATTCTCAATATTTTCAATTTATCTTTAACTATGTTAAATATTTAGTCTTAATTGCTGTAACTATTTTGAGTCCCTCTATGATACCATGAATGCTGGGATAGCTTATTCGGTACAGCAATGGGCTGCAGGCTGGGATTCAATTCCAGTCAGGAGGAAAGAAATTTTTTTCTTCATAACATCCAGACCAGCACTGGAGCCCAGCCAGTCTCCCATCCAGTGGGTACTGTTTTTTTTTTTTTCACTGGTGGGGAAGAAGCTGGGAGATGAAGCTTTACCTCCACTCACCCATACATCTTAATGGAATGGTACTTAATCAAGCACAGGGACAACTTTACCTTTTAAATTTACTTCTATGATACCACAGTAGTAACCTTTTATAACACTGGCTATGCTTTCTGATGATGGCCAATAATTCTCAAAACATTTATAGGTCATATTTTTACTTCCTTGAATGAAATTAGTTACACTTTATGGACTTCTTCTACTTATTTATTTATAGTAATGGACCTTTGCATTCTATTTAATCTTTTGTTTCATCTAACATAGTAATATGTCATTTAAAATTTAAATACTGCTCCCTAGAAAGAACAGGGGCTGGAATGCCTTGGCTGGTATAGTGACTAGGCTACAGGCTGGATAACCAAGGAATTGGGGTTTAATTCCTGGCAGGGGCAAGACAGTTTTCTCCCCCCTCTGCCATGTTCAGACTGGATCTGGAGCCCACTCACCCTCCTATACAATGAGGACAGGGGGCTGTTTCCCCTGGGATAAAGCAGCTGACCACTCACCTCCATTTAGTGTTAAGTTCAAGAATTGTGGAGCTACACCTCCACTCCCACATACTTCCTCATAGCATGGTGTTTAATGAATTAAGCCCAGGGATAACTTGACCCTCACCTTTCCTAGAAAGAACTTTGCTGTAAAACTGCACACTAGCATTTTAAGTGGGATGGAGAAAGGATAAAGAACTCTGAATTTCTCCAACATATGAATATGAAAATCAGATGGAATATATGATCATACTTATTTCAGTAGTAAACTTGATCACAGGCAGTTGCAGAAACTCTGAATGTACACTGTAGCAGATTATGGAGACAAGGAACTATACATTTATCACTCAGATACAGAGTGGCCTATTCAGGGAGAGTCTCATGTAGGCCTCAAGAAATACCAGTTTCAAAGTTTTGTGATTGGGTTCTGTACTTTTCTCGCAGATATAACTGTGCCTTAATGGCATGACAGTACAACTCTAGGGGAAAATATGTTGTTAAATGTTCATATTATCTTTTGAAGTATGGACTAGGCTTACAGAAAACTGAACTAACAAAACACAAGACCCTCCAACTGCTATAATAACCTACTCATGGAGCTGAGCCCTTCTGGAGGAGCCACCAATTCTGCAGCTACTCAAGAATTTCCCAGCATTTTACGGAACCTGAAGGTTCATTACCGTGTTCACAAGAGCCCTTCACTGGTCCCTATCCTGAGCCAGATCAATCCAATCCATACCATCCCATCTTATCTCTCTAAAATCCACTTTAATATTGTCCACCCACCTACGCCATGGTCTTCCCCGTGGTCTATTTCTTTCTGGCTTTCCCACCAATATCCTATACGCATTCATCATCTCCCCCATTTGTGCTACATGCCCTGCCCACCTCATCCTCCTTGACTTGATCATTCTAATATACTTGGAGAAGAGTACAAGTTATGAAGCTCCTCAATATGCAGTTTTCTCCAAACTCCTGTCACTTCATCCCTCTTCGGTCCAAATATTCTCCTCAACACCCTGTTCTCAAACACCCTCAGTCTGTATTCCCTCCTCAATGTCAGAGACCAAGTTTCACATTCATACAGAACCACAGGCAAAATTATAGTTGTGTATATTCTAATTTTTATGTTTTTGGACAGCCGATGACAAGAAAAAAGGTTCTGGACTGAATGGTAGCAAGCATTACCCGAGTTCAATTTCCTTCTGAATCACATTTCGCTTTGTTATCGTTGTGCCCAAATATCTGAACTGTACTACATTTTCAAAACATCTATTTCCTATCTTTATGTCATGATTTTGCCCTGCATCTTGGTGACGAGACAGCAACATATACTTAGTTTTCTCTGTGTTTACGTCTAGACCAACCTCTTTACTTGCACCAATTCAAGTTTGTGTGTTTTTCTTTATGGTATCTACATGATCACCCATATATATATAGTATATATATGTTCATAGAGTCAACACTAGGTACAAACATGATTTCAGACTGGTTGCTGAACTTAGCATTATAAAATGGTGCATATTGTGTGAAAATTAAATTGTATAAAAGTTGTCCANAAGACGGAGTTTGTCTCATATATATTGTGTGAGTGTAACAGGATGCTTAAATATAATATTGTACATACGAACTGAAACGTTATACACCAACAGAAAACATTTTCAATTGGAAGTAAAAGAAATCCTTTCATACACCTCTGTTGACGCATTTGTAAACCTTACATAATAGGAGCTTGCTAATTAAACATAACTATTGTGAAATAATTGTAAGGAATTTACAATTTATGTAAAATTAGGTGTACCTCATGTCTTGTACTTATTCTACTGTGGTTTGTTGTGTTCATTTGTACAATAGCTTGTTCCAAATCTTAATAAACAAGAATTCACAGATCACATATAAATGACATAATTTTAATATCTTTCTGGATAATTTGGCATTAATTTTTAGACCATTAATGCTGTCACAGCTGGTGGAAAAAGCCTCCTTGCTTACATTTAGTTGCTGACAAAATATAATAATGTTCTGTATGCCCCACATGTATACTAATGAATGACTGTAACAAAGGCAGTGAATGCATACAGCAGGGGTTTTGAAATGTTAATGACATAATCCGAATTGACAACATACGAAAACTGCCTGTAAAGGAGAAGACTTATAATCAATTCAATAACTTTCAATTTTACCGAAATGGCATACCTGTGTGTGTCCGAAGATGAGCCTGCAATGACTTTTCCCTTGGAAATACTCTGTTACAGAAATGACATTTTATAGCACTTGGGGACGTTGAACCTTCCACCATTAAATTTGTAATTGCATCAGCTCTAGGTCTACCCCTTTTACTTTCATGGCGTACGGCAAATTCAGGCGAGCTGCAATCACTGTTAGGGCTAAGCTCCATTTTGCGTGACTCTTCTACCCACTTCCAGGGATATAACATGGTACCATTTGTTGATGGGGTTCTGTGTAACTGAGATACCACTTCTTCACTCGATTTCAAACGTTTTGGAGTCTTGACTTCCATGTTTCATCAAATATTTCAGACCTACCCCACACTTATTTCCAGCGCACTCCTAAGCAACACTTCATCGAAAGTTATTACCGCCAATACAGGTTTACAAATTTACGCGCGTTTGCTGCAGTAATATTATTGGAGGAACTGTTGCTGTAGGAGGTACACAGAAATCCACCTTCTTCTGTGTTACATTCTTCAACTTGAATTAAAATAAAATTTAATAAGAGCAGTGACATCTCATCATATGTATAAAATAATTATGCTATTGATACATATTTATTTTATGATAGTTTTTTACTTATTTTAAATATCATGTTAGACCATTGGGTTTCCCGCCAGTACACATGAAATTTTTTTTTCGTCTGGTTCCTGAAATTTTGGATAATTACTAAAATTGTGCATATAAAATCAACGAAATAAATATATAAGTTTTCATGAAATTGTATTTTCTTCTATTATGTTTTAATTTACATGATATTATATTTGTTCGCTTATAAGTGTCATGCCGAACAATTGCATGAGGCGCCAATCTGTGTTCTTGCAACCCTAAACCTCGTGGGATAACCATAGTCGTCTTTCGCCATATTGAAATTGAATGTCTGGCTTACATAGAGGCTCGTAGTAGCCATTAACTTTATCGGGTGACATCCTTCTAATTTGGGGGATTTAGATAAAATGGAAAATTCCTACGGAATTGGTGTGACAAATAGGTACGCTTTGTTTCTTAATGATGCTGAAGATCCGCTAGAAGTTCTGAAAGTACAAGAACAAGAAAAGGAAGCGAAAAAGAAAACCAAGCTTTCTGAGAAGGAAAATAAAGGAAAGACCGAAACGAAAGGGAAGACTGCCCAAGTAGCACGAAAGGGCATCAAGGAAACTCAAAACGTCAAGACTCTGGAATCTGGAAAGTCGAAGGAAGGTAGTGTTTCATTTTTACTTTTCAAATGCAGTTTTGAGTAATGTATGTGAAGCCAGTGAGTACGTCTTTCCCCGATAGTCTTCTTGTGTCTAACAACAGCTGGTTACATTATTTGGTCTTTGTTGAAGAGTTACATATTTAGGTGTGTTTGGATGGTTTGGTTAAATGTACAACGTTTCAGTTCCGTATGTAGTTTATACTCCACATGGCTGCTAGTACGCTGCGATACCTATAGGTTATGGCCCCAGTGGTTTGAAATTTACTAATAAAGAGGAACATACATTAAAGTACCAAATTTACTGATTGAAGACATCGACAGCCTGTATGCCGAAGGCACTATAAAGCAGCAGTGTTTGCGGAAATGAACGTGTAAGGAACTGAACTTTGAAGCGTACATCTTTCTATACTATAACATTACCAGGTCAAGTGTTTTTAGTTATGATTAATTTATGTTGAAGATTTGTTTGCATCTAAGAAGTATATGTCATAGGTTCCTTAGTTGACAACATTGCCTGTTAGAACTGTATATAAAATATTCATGAACATCTACATGAATTCATGATCTGATATTTGTCTATAATAATGGAAGAAAGTTCATATTAATTGATTTAAAGAAAACAGTTATCCCATGGAAAACCAACACACATGAAAGTAACATTTACAGTTGATCTCACATTTTAATGAAATAATATATGTATTTGTCCTACAGGCAAACTTAATTGTGTGTTTTCTTTTTTATATTTGTCAAGTGGGTTTTCAAGTACGGGGTGTTGAAAAATCATCCCCACAAGAGCAAAGGAAAAAGGGACATAGTGAGAGTTTGATTTAATAACTCTGATAATGCATGTGGAGAAGTGTTGAAGAGTTTGTTGTGAAGTGTACGAAATATTCTTTCTGTTTATAGAACAATATATTTTAGAATTTTTAAAGTCAGGACACACATGAGTGGCCATATATTTTGAATATTAGAAATTAGTTGCAGAAAAGTAGTATGCAGGATTTATTTTGAAACTCCCTTTGTAAATGTAACTAAGCAGGGACCATTTTATATGAAAGCTAATATTGTATTAAGTTTGAATAGAGATGTTTAATTTTTATGATTTTAAACAGTTTAAAGCTGAAAAAAAGATTAGTTTATGAAATTAATGCTTGTAGTACTGATGTGCTTCATGATGTCTTGAAACAAGTAGTGAAATGCAGTGATAGGCATGTTTTTACATTGGTTGGAAACTGTACCAAATTAGTATTTTAAAAATATGCCATGCCAACATTTTTAAGTTGTCCTATTGTTTCATCTTTAAATTTTTAACTCACAAATGCATCAGGGCTTTTAAACTTTCATGTCACTCAGCACAGAGCAGCTGTAGTATTGAAGTAATGAAACAGGAAAATTACTTTTTCATAAGTTAAATATATTTTGAAATTATGGCACTTGTGGTTAACCTGTTCCTTTGGGAAAGGCCTCAGGCCTTCTACTTGAGGCCAGAGGCAGAAAATGATCCAAGTGGACAGTGCACCACAACTTTAATAGTTTGAAGACTTCTCTGCAGAAAAGGAAGAAATATTGCAGCTGAGGTTTTGTTGTTGATGTACGTAGAGCTTTAATTTGTACTGTTTATGTATGTTCTTGAAGTTATGTAATGTGACACATTTTGTGATCCACTTCAGAGTCATTTATTGCAGTTACAAACCAGAGATGTACATAAAGCAAATGTTGAAACGTGTACAGAGTACAAACTATTTTTTGATCTTATTCTTTGGCAGAAATTATATCAGAAAAAAAATTATCTTGGTTAAATGAATGAAGAAATGACTTTGGTGGTGAAAAGCTCCTTAAGTGTGAACGTTTCAGCACTCAGTTTAAAAACATTCCCTTTGTCGTTGCTGGTGGCTAGGATATAAAAGATCTGATGAAGTGGAGAACTCGCATGATTTTTACATCCACATGGTCCAGCAAAAAACCTTCCACACGCCTTGTTCAACTAGATGAACTGTTCCAAGGAACCACGTCTTGCCTTTGCCTGCTCTTAGAACTTAAAAATTGATTTCAGCAGGAAGCAAATATTCATCACAGTTGTGAAAGTAGTTTTGAGAGAAATATTCATGAAATGTGTCAATAAAAGACAAAATAGCATAAAACAGCCAGCAAAAAAAACATGTTTTAGTCATGTGGTTAAAAAAATGATTCATTTGAATTGAGCCCTGGAATCCAACAGGCTCTCAAAAACTGTTTGCTGTTAATACACACAATTATGTGCTGTGAGCTTTAAATCAGTTGAATACTGGAAAGGTATACATCTCTACTTCGAATCTTAATGCAATATCAGTTTCTATATATAATGGCTACTAGTCTTGAGGTCTCATGAAAAGATTGTTTGACACCAGTTTGAATTCAAAGATCTTCATAGGTGTGATTGATTCAGAAATATACTCAAGTTCATCTAGTTTGTGGGTATTAATATACTTTGCTTTCTCAGGTTTCTCCACAGATAAAAATCATGGGTTCAGGGTCAGAGACCTTGCAAGCTACAATCTGTGATGTATTACTCTGTCTTGAGCGCCATGTTTAAAGCATTAATGGAATAATTAGTAGTGTGTGCTGTAGCACCATCATGCATAAAATAGCCATGTCCTACCACCCTGATGCTCTCAAAAAGCTAGAGAACACCATTGGTATAATGCCCTGAATTAATAGTCTCTCCAGAGAATCATCTGATCATGAGGGGTGCTTCAGAAGTTGGTCTTGGATTAATTGCACCCCAATAAGTAATTGTTCTGAACGCTGATATACCCACTCAGATGAAACCAAGGTTCGTCTGTAAGTAATGTAAGCTGTGTCATGCACTGCCTGCAGAATCCAAAACATTCTTTCAGGAAACTATCATACAGAAAACACACTGTTTAAGTTTATATTTCACCTCCATTCCATAATTTAAGTGCGAACATGAAGTGATTTTTGAATGTTGTGCTGGAACAAACAGAGGAAGAAACTTAAGACATTACAGTGAGTCATTTGCAGTTGCAATCAGCCTACAAGATAAACAGTAACGGAAACACTGCTTAGTATTGCATCAATCTGTTCTCTTTCCCCTACAATTGCCCAAAGCGTATTCAGCTGCCACTTGGATGCTTTTACTGTCGCGGTCACTGGTTTTAGCCTGTCAAGAAAGTTGTATATAACCTGAAAAATGTGCAGGCTATATACAGAATTCATTACAGCTACAGAGTTCCATCACATAATTATTTTTTCATGCTGAGAGTGGTAATTTGGGTCACCCTTGTGTCAAGTTTGAAACAAATCCCAGATGCTGCTTTTCTGCATTTAATTTCTAAGGTTCATAACCTATACCTGAACCCATTAGAAGTTGTGAAGTATATATATGTATATGTTAGAAACAGAAATTTCAGTTGTACAGTGAGCTCTAGAATGTTTCTCTAAATGCATAACAAAGGAGTTACTAAGGAGAAATCTTGCTGATGCATCTTTTCTTACACTGGTGGGGGTGATTTTTTTTCACCAATTATCAATAGAACCTCCGTCGAGTGTAACAATATATGTTCTTGTCACCATTTTCTCACATTTGCCTTACATGTTTCGGCTCACAAAGAGCCATCATCAGAGGCAACCACAACAAAAACATGGAAACACTTGCACTGCTCAACAATCACAATATACAGTTTTTTGTGGAAGATGTTACACGTATCGGAGCGTAAAACACAACAACATCCAGTACCCCGAGTGCGGGTATCCCATTTGCATTTAAAATATCACCCACAAAGCGGGTCGTTAATGTTAAAATTAAAGTTAAAACCGTCCAAGTAAAATATTCAGGTTCCTCTTAGTGGATAGTCCCAATGGGGGAGGCGTCAGCACGAGGTTGTGTGGGCTTGTGGTCGGTTGTGTCCGACGCGTAGTGTATTGTGTATTGATTTTTTTTAACCATAACCACTCTATAGAAATGAAAAAAGAGATATATTGTGACATATTTGCTCTATGCAGGAACAGTTGAGCCACATAAACGGCTGTTTCCAATCTAGAACCTGTTAACTTAGTCACACATACCCTGTGTACACACAATAATGTGATTGGTTATGGAACCAATATGTATGCCAAATTTCATCACAGTCTTAAGGTTCAAAGTGTATGTTGGCTTTTTGTGGAATGATGTTGGTGGCTTTCCATATGTACGATATAGTTCTTAAGAACCTCTCAAGAACTGGTTTTTGTCTTATGAAAACCTTTGGTTGTATTGGCACAATTTTTTATGCGTTTCGAAGATGAATTTTAGTATGTTCACATTTCTGAAATACTCGTGTCTTCTAACAGATCTTCCCCATTTCATATTTTATAGTTACCTGGATAATTGAAACCCGTTATATTTAAACTGTACAAAGAGCAGTTTAGTGAAAATATTGATATTTGAGAGCCTGCTACAGATCTTTTGGCTGGACTGACAAGAGAATATGTTATTGGGTGAAATCTTCCTGCCTGTGTTCACTTACAACACAGTTGACAATCATTCAGACCTACATCACAAACAAACCTCAACCAGATCACAGTAGGTGCCAGAAATAATCCCCATTATGCATTAATTCCTAACACCTCCATAATGTGTTCACATTCAGGTGTTTTGTTTGGGAAAGAGGAAACTTGAAACTTCAAACATTGCATTGTTTGGAAAAGAGTCTGGATCATGCGATGCACCTGTCTGCATACACCAAACATAAATTCTTCCTGTGTAATCAGTTCTGTTGTCTCCTGTGCTGCAGTACTGTGATTTTTCAAAACAATTCTCAATGTATGACAGTGTGTTTCTGTGAATGTTGATTTTTGCCCACTGTTCCCTTCCACTACGGGATCCGCTCAGCTTCGTGAGGAAAATTTTGGAGCTATTTCAATGAAGTAGCGGCTCTGGTTTTGAAAACAAGATTAACAGCCATGGGGATTTGTTGCGCTGACCGCGTGACACCCTCTATTCGATAAAGTTGGCACTAACTTCGCCAACACGTGTCGGTCACTCGATCTGTATAGTTCACTTGCAGACTGAAACGACGGAGTTTGTTTTTATGTGATCTCCATGCTGCCTGTATGTCTGTGTATCTCTCTCCCACCATCAACTTTCGAATAGCTGCATCAATCTTTATGAAGAAATTCATTTTTCGTTAAAACTATACACAAATGTACTGATTTATTTTTATTACCTCTGCATTGAGAAACCATTTTCTTTTCCTTTCACAAAAACTCAGAATATAAAACTTTTATATGTAACATGAGAACCTCAGGGCTGCAAACCCCACAGTTGTAGAGATGGACCCACATTTTGATGTGGGTGGACCCTTTGCCCTGTAAGGGAAGAATGAAATTATTAGAAAGAAACAGTGCTACTGCCTGAACCTCTGCAGTTTTTTTTACTAGAAAACATCACTTTAACAATACATGTTGACAATCATTGATAAGGTTGCTGTCAAGAACTACTGCTGACAGTAAGATTTATGACAGGGTCTTTTGGGAATATGGTGGTAAGTTTTCCTTCATTGTTTGCAAGGAAGCTGGTTGAATTGCTTCAGCCTTATATCATGCTAATGCCAGGAAGAGGATTAACAAGACATTTTTTATTTTGTATGTCTACATGGGCAACACAATGCCATATTGTGGGCAGTCTCTTGTCTGAAAGCTGTAGGTTGGCCAAACCTGTTTATAGGGTACATTGTAATATAGATGATACTGTTTTCAGCATATGGGCTTAACTATGTAAGATGATGCGTTTCAGCACATTTATGCCATCTTCAGATCCTGTTTATAGTTAACACCACACAATAAATTTACGTGTAAGCCAAGTGGATCCACACGTATGGAATGTACCATGTATGGTTTGTACTAAGTTCTATTCTATAATAGGCTAACTCATATATTAGCATTGCATAGCATTTGTAGTTTAAGATGAAGTTGTACGTTTTGAATATGTAGCATATAGTACATACACAATCTGCCAGAAAGAATACTGGGATTGCAAGCACTTGCAACTTAGGAACAAAAACAGAAATGATGATTGTACTTGCAGTGTAACTGTAAACTCAGGCAGTTCATTGACTCAAGTTATGCTCACATCCAGAATTGTAGTTAATGGACAACAGCTTATCTTCACTGATGAGGTTGAATTTCACGTCTCTGGATGTTAGTCGGTGTAACTGTCATATGGGGCAGTAAGCCTCCTAGGGAACTTTCAGAACATGAATGGGATAGTCCTGAAGTGAAAGTTTGGTGCATGATGAACATAAAAGAGTCATTGACCCCTTTTTGTTTGATGTGTACATTATTACTAGTGATATATATGTGCAATTCAGTCTTCGGTGCAGCTTCATGGTTTCTGGCAGAAACACCCCATTTCTTACAAATGAAATGCAGACATGTTTTGACCACACAAGGGCCATTAGCAGGTATATATGATTCACATAAAGTGTTACATTATGTTTAGAATGTCTTAACCTGTGAAGGATGTGCATGTAATTTATTATTGTTATTGAACCAGTTATGTTAAAATGTTAATAAAATTAGATCAGAATGTGGTGACATGCTGTGGCTCTTGTGTGTTCCACTTTTTTGAATGTTTGTATTTTGTGCGTTTTGGTTGTCTATTTTGTGTACGCTGAAACATGGCATTTAGTTACATGTGTGGGATAGGAGTTTCTGCCAGCAACCACCAAATTATGTGATGAAGCTAGTGCAGCAGGATGCTAAAATGCAATACTATCATTAAAAGTGGTTCATTCCTGGTCATGGAGGAAAATCATGCTTTTTGGCAGCTCAGCAACAATAGTAATCTTATTCTCCAGCTGGATGGGGCCCAATTTGTTTAGTCACATTGGCCGTTACAATTTGAATATGAATTTCCTGGGTTGATAGATAGGAAGAGAAGGAAGAATTTTATGGGGCTCTTGTGCCCCTGATATTACACCTTCTGACTTATTGTTTGGTGCCGTATGAAAGACCAGGCGTGCAGCCACAGTGAATATTCTCAATGAACTCAGAGCAGAGATCATAGCAGCGATTGCAGATGTTACAAAGGACATGTTGCAGCACATCTGGCAAGAGGGGGAGTATAGTTGGGATGTATGCCGTCCTACAAATGTCACTGATTTTGAAGTGTTTCACATGGAACAACTTTTCCACATGTATATAAGAGAAATTCTTTCAGTTGCTGAATGAAATACTGGAAACAACACCCTCACTTCTGTTTTCATTCCTAAGCTACAGGTACCTGAAATCCTGGCATTTGTTTTGGTAAACCTTGTACAACACCAGTGGATCCACTTCATATGCATGTAAATTTACTCTAAATGCATGATACATCAACTGTAAGCATAAACAGAACCTGAAGAGGCACAGTGTGGGAACATGTCTTAGACATCAGCTCCATCTGCTGGAAATAAAATTCTGTTGACAAAGAATACATTAAATATTTTTATGGTGATTTACACAACAGGATGCAGTGAGTACTACATTTTAATATGGTTCCTTCTGGAAGCATAGACAATATGGTTGACATTTTATAGAATTCATAGAGCTCCTACCATGACAGAAGTTGTAATATACATATATATCAAGTACTTATAAATGTTTTGTGGAAACTATAGCCACTGGGGAGTCTTAATAAAAGAGTTATTAATCCTTTGACTGGTGATCATTTCATTCCTTACTCCAATGACTTATCAGGGCTGGAAAAAAAGAAATCAGTTCCTTCAAGTTTTGTTGAAAGGTGACAGTATGTATTGTTTGTCATTGCAGGCACTCGCATGCGTTTTGTGCGTGTAAAAATAATTATAAAAACAATTGTATTGGGTGTGGTGTATCTTGGGTGAAGTGTTGTGCTGCAGTGTGTGATAGTGTGGGATATACAGGGTGTGACACTCAAAGGGTTAATATACTCAAGCTTCAGTTCATATTTCAGTATCTTATTCATAAATGACAGTTATAGTGTACTCTTAAATGATCATGTAAATGCAAGAGTATGTAATTTATTAATTTCTTAATCTTTATGTTCACATGAATTGTGGCCATTTGCAGTTCATAAAAAATGAAAACCAACGAGGTTTTTATGCCAATTTGAAGGTTTCATATCAGATACTTGAATCCAGTGTAGGATTTGAAGTTCTCATAGCGGTGATTGTGAAGAGTATACTATCTTCTGGGATATGACACTGTGTATTTCGTTGAAAGTCAGTGTTTCGCAGGAATATATTGAGTCCATTTGCAGGGTCAAAGAATATATCAAGCAGGAAACCAGCCTGAAAGCATTTGGCATGCAGAGCTGTCTGCTACATGCTTGAGCACGTGCTTCTTGCATTAACGGCTGCGGGGACTTGTGCTGACCACGTGACATCCTCTCTCTGCTAAAGTTGGCACTAACTTCGCCGACAAGCGGCGGTCGCTCAGTTGGTATAATTCGCTTGCGGACTAAAACCATGGAGTTTGTTTTCTTGCTTGGCTTATTCTTTGACCCTGAAGATTGAAGTGTTAAGGTCTTCTGAAATGTTTGGTTGGCTTTCAGTAGACTACATGGTCTTATATCCCAGAAGACAGTACACTTCACTCAGTTTTTGTGTTGAGGATGAAACAGTGAAGAGAAAAGTGTTCAGAGAGGAAAAATGTTAAATAATTTTAAGTTCTGTATGGACTGAATGGGAATTGACTTGCATTTACGTGAGTTTGCGATCTGATATGTGGAGTGGTTTAGTTTAATTTTGTACTACATACACATACATATCTTGCAGTAATAATGGTGAGAAATAATTTGTCTTTTTTGATGTTGCAGTGCCAACTCCCATTGACAAAAAAGAAAATCAAGGCATGTATTTCCTTAAATTTTTAAAATATTTTTATACTAATGAGCTACATTTGACCTGCAGCCTGATGTATCCAAATTGTTGGAGTTGGATGAAAATAACCTTGCTGGTTTGATATGTTTCTAACTCTACTGTATTTTTCTGAGAGGAAATAAAAACCCTTGTTATACGTTGGAAATAATTATATTCCTGCTTAAATTCCCCGCAGTGTCTCGGTGAATAAAGAGTGCAGAGAATTTGCCCACTTCAATGTGTGAAGATGAAAATTTAAATTTCCCTTTGTTTATAGAATTACTTTAAAGAGCAAAGTATGTTAAACATTGAAGTCTTAACATCTTAGCAAGATTAGGAATTCATCCAACTTTCTCATACAAAATTTTGATGCATCGTAAAGGCTGCACCATAGCTCACGCTGTTAGTTGCTGGCTTCCCACCGTGTCGGCCCGGGTTTGATCCCGGGTCTGGTCAAGTGGGATTTGTGGTGGACAAAGTGGTGCTGGGGCATGTTTTCTCTGAGTACTTCAGTTTCCCCTGACAATCTTCATTCAACCAAATTCTCCATCATAATCACCTGGGGAAGGCTACAATAGGCCAATCAGTGGCTGCCGTGCCACGTGGACCCAGTTGGACTCCATCCCCCATAAGTGAATTAATGCGTGGATGAAAAATACTGCTGATAACTCTTTATCATTATGATTCCATTCAGAGTATTTGGAAGAAATGTTTATTTGTATATTGCATGACTAATGACAAAACTGTTTCCAGATATAATTGCATGGTTTGCTGATCTTGCAAAAATGCAGTAGTTTGTAACTTTTTTTCTGTTTTAATGAGTTTAGATGTTTGTAGTTTTAATGTATTTTTTCTTTCTTGGTGCTCATAAAATAAGGTTATGTAAGAATGTTTCAACAAAACATGCTGAAATCGGGGGCAGATACATAATTCCAGTGGAATACAGAAAATTTGAATATCAAGTTAATTTTTTTTTTATTAAACAAAATATTCTTTGAGTATAGAAACATTCCGGAATTTGCATATGATCTGTAAGAAATTTGATTACTCATATCAGTTGGCCACTTCTTTGCACTACAGTGTGGATGTGTGGTTCAGACTAAAAGTTGCTTGATAAAACATGGAGAAACTTTCACTTTTTCACATTGGTAAAGTGTTGGAGTTTGCAGATGACCCGTGTCTAGTACCGAGGTAGGTGCCCTTATACAGGGCCTTCATCAGTTTAAATTTCTCAGTTTTCTGCCCAGGGATACAGAAGACATGTTTGATCATAGAAATAACCCCATTTGTTGCAAGTTTTGTGCATTATGAGGTATCCAGCCTTCATGTTTTTCGTCACAATTATAATTGCTTCATATAAAATGCATTGTTGCTTTTGTATTCTGATTTTGTGTCTTCTGTAACTTTAATTTACACATTATTATTGAATTTTAATTACAGTTTGGTAAACATGTCATGCAATAAAATACTCTTTTTTTTTTAAACAAATGTTGTTTCCCCTCAAAGAGTTCAATTTTTAGATTTCCAGAAATTATGCCATAACCTTTAAACTAGATCACACTTTTTAGTGTGAAAGGTAACTGGCATTTGTGCTCCATGAATTACTTTGTCTTGGGAAATCAGGGTGCAGTTTGTAACTGTATGAATGAATACTGTTTATTTTTATTTGTGCCTGTTCTGTGAATTACTGCTATAAATATAGCTAGGTTTGGATTATAGTCATAAAACCATGTTTAAGTTCATCCTTTGTCACCATAACATGTATCTCCAAATTGTGATTTAAGGGTAAAATCATCAAGTAAGGAGAGTAGCTGTGCTTGTGCTGAATAAGCAGTCCTATTTGACATCTTTGGGTTTGGGCATAGGGTGAAAACCCCTCACCAAAACAAAAGTATTTTGCAGGCAACAAAGACCAATTTGTCTTGGATGTTTTTATATGCCTACGTGATGGGGAAAGGACGTCGGATTTGGAATTTTAGAGTCTTAAAATAATCGTGGAGACATATTATATAAAGGTATGGTAGAGGGTGTGCATCATTAGCCTGCATAATTCTGGAATAGGGGATTTCAGATCTTCTGGTACTGTGAGTTTAACTGTTTTGATACGCGTCAACGGTGTATATCATGTGGGAATGTGGAATTTTAGATAGCCCAGTGTGGGGTTGACAAGGGGCTAATGGTGTTAGTATTTAGAAAATGAAACACTGTGGTAGGTGGACCTTAAAAGACATATAGGGACAGGAGATAGTCTTTGTATTGGATAGCGGGACTGTAGTGGCCCTGGTCCATATTTAAATGCTAAGCAAGTAATGCATGGACAACATTAAATTAGCAGGGTACTACCCAATGGTGGCTTTTTGTGAATGAGTGTGAGGGTCTCCTTAATAGATTTTTAGATTGACTAGTTATCAACCTCAACCTTTCAAGGACTGCGCCAAGGCATTACTTAATTTAGAGCCCCTGCCTCCCACCATTTGGGTGGTAGTGAGTTTGTATTGATCATTCAGGTAGCATTGGGGACCAAAAAGTAATTAACATTGTGCTGAATTCCTTTGAAACCCTTGAATATAATTGCTGTTACAGTAATTACTTTTTTACCCTTGAAGATGAGCATTCAAAATTTAGATTGTCATATTATTTTAAACTTTGGCT